AGGGGAGGTCAAGGAAGGCTTGACTGGGAGGCTGATACTTGAGCAAAGACTAACGGTATGAAGAGTCAGTCATGTGACATCAGAAGGAAGAGCATGTGCAAAGGTCCTGAGGCAAGAGTTTGAGTGGCATGTTCCGGAAAACATACACTAGCCACTGTGGCTGCAGTGAGCAGAGTGAAGGAGACAGAAGTAGAAGACAAGGCAGGCCCAAGGCCAACAGGGGCCTGTTGGTGGGGACTTCAAAGCTATTTGGAAAAGGGTGTTAGCATTTAATCATGAGAAGGGGTATAATGTTTCCAGGAACATGTCTGGTACACAGTAGGCACTTCACAGATACTTCTGTGTCTCCTTTGTGAAAAGTGACCAAGGTCACGCTTCCCACTGCTCATTGGATGGGTCACTCTGTGCAATACCCAGTCCTAGACTCGTAGAGCACGAGCTCTAGAGAAGGCCTCAGAGCTTGTCTTGATTGTTCAAAAGTAAACACTGTGTACTCTCCACTCCTAAGTCCCTGCCACTCCCTTCTCTTATGGATGCTTTTAAGCAGACAGAATCTGGAGCCTCAAGATCTGGGGACAGGGCTCCTTCTTTTATAAAAGGAGCATTAGCAAGATGAAAGAGTCGGCTCCCAGACAAGATGAAAAACAGCCTGGCTCTCAAAACACTTCCCAGCCCGTGCAATCGCTGTGCTCCATGCTGGAGCCAGAGGTCCTCTCTTCCTGCCTCTCAGGAGAGCAGGCAGCAGCGAGCAGACCGGGAAGTCTCAGGCCTCCGAGCAGGCCTGCAGGGATTCCGTCAGCCAGGCTCTTTCTGCACCTGTCACTCTTTGGATAAATGGAGTGTGTGATGACACAGAGCATCGCAATTGGCCTGGCCTAGCGTCTGGTCAGACATCTTCCTCTTCTGAAAACATTTAGCCTCTGGCAAGGACTGTGAGAGCTGAAGGACCAGAAGAAGAAGAATCCAGTTATGTGCAGGGCTTGCAAAAGCAGAACGAAAGAAGTATGGAAGGGCCTGGCTAGCAAGTGTCTGCAACGCACTAGGCTTTATGCATTCGCTAGGTGCGTGTGACTATTTACATGCAAATTTAAATGAACTAGAATTAAGTGAAACTAAAAATTCAGTTCCTTGGCCATAGTGACCACATTGCAAGTGCTTGGTAGTCACCTATGGCTACCGTCATGGACAGCACAGATATAGAATGTTTCCAGCATCACAGAGAGTTGCGTTGGACAGTCCTACTCTACACACCTGAGCCCTCCTCATGTCTCTAAAGTCAGGGCCAGAAGCACCATTTGACAAGCCCCAGGAGACTAAGCCATAAGCGCCTTGGCTTGGCTTCAGAATCCAAGACACCCTTGAGTCTCTTCTGATTGCAGACAAGGACTCCTGTGACGGCATCTGGTGGAGTTCTCACTTCCTTAGCCCTCCAGGTGGTCCCAGTGATCTTCCAAACCAAAGAGGGTAGGGCCACTCCCTGGGGCTTCAACTGGTGGCTGCCACGAGACAAGGCACAACGGATCAATAGTGAGGAGGCATCATTTGAGCAGCCAGGCAGGTAGAGCCGGGTGTTCTTCCTCAAAGAACTGGGTGTTCAGCAAAGCTAAGCACCCACAAAAGAAAAGAGGACAGCCACCTTGGAAAGAGGACAGCCGTCTCAGTTGGAGGAGAAACTTGATTCAAAGTCTGGAAGATTTCAATCTCAACCTTTGCACTCTCGGGGAGAATCAAAGGGCATTGAAAAAAGCACATGGCGAATTAGGGAGGGATTATCCTTTGTCGGGCAGACAAGGAAAATGTTTTTGAGTTTTTCAAAACATTTTCATGGGGAATAACAACAATGGCAACTTATATTTACGGAGCACTTATGATGTACCAAGCACTGTGTTACACTCCTTCTACATATGATTATAGTAAGTCTTAGTAAGAGTCATCTGTGTGGGCCAGAGTCCGTATGGGCCAGTCTGTGCTGCAATAACAAACAACTCCTACCTTTCAAGGGCTTAAGCAAACATTGTCTTCTTTCTTGCTCATGCTGCCTGTTCATCAGCAGTCACTGGAGGTCTCTGGCTACACATCTGAGTTCTCACTTTAGAACTCAGACCAGATGGAGAATCCCCTCATGGAGCTTGCCAGTTATTATGGGAGATGGAAAGAAGGAATGGAAAATTGCATCTTAACTCTCAAAGCTTCCGCCAGGAAGCAATACCCTACACTTCTGCTCAAATTTCATTGATCAAAGTACACCACATAGCTCTCAAGGTGTCATGAAGACATCATCCACCAATCAGTCATTCCTTTAGCAGGTATTAACCAAGCTCGATCTGTGTCCCAGGCACTGTACCAGGCTGCAGAAGCTGGGCAGCACATATTAGCAGCCTTATGCCTGTCTTCAAGGACTCCGCCGTCTACTGGGGAATCCGGCCATTAATCCAGTAAACACACACGAAAATGTGAGCTTACAGCTGCTAAAAGTGCTACCTAGGAGAATTATATAGAGCTGTGAGAGTGTACAATAGGGGAGTCTAACCTAAGTAGGGGATGGGGAAAGAGTAGGGCAGGCTTGCCAAGGAAAATGACATTTCGATGGAGTCCCTCACCGTGTTGAAATAATTAATCGGGAGGTCATCAGGCTGAGGCAGCTCCAGCGCCTTGAGCTCCTGCATAAGCAAACCAAACCCCGACTCAGTGTAAACAGTAAAAGGAAACTTGGGCTTCATCAATCAAAAACTGCCTCGTACCTCTAACTAGACGTTTTACCCATCAGAAACTGGCAACTCACCTCTAACGAGGGACTTTCCACTTTAACTAATCAAAATTTTTTTTTTCTGTCTTGCCTCTGCAGACACCTCCCCCTACACCTCCTCAACAGAACGCTGAGCCACTTGCGGTCTAATGCTCCCCGACTCTTGAACCCCCGAATGCCCGAATAAGCTCATTAAAATTTTAATGCACCTAAGTTTATTTTTTTAACAAGTGTATACATGGGAGCTTTCAAACTAGGGTTTCTCTCTCATTCTACACGTGCAACCATTCTGCCTCTTTAAGGCACTAGCAAGAGAAGATCCCACAGGCATGGGATATCGCACAAGGATTCTCTTTGTCAGGCGATCACGGCAACATTTCTATAGAACAGCATATGAACCCTGCCAGAGTGGCACATGTACACATAGGTCCTGGAAAACGATACAGTGAAATTGTTCATTGTAGAGCGTGCTAAATCATATGTTGTTTGGGAAACAGTGTGTCCCATAAGGGACCCTTTCTTGCGGGTATGCTCTGTGTCCTGGAGTTCATGTTTCCAGTGGATTCCAAACCAAACTCTTCTTCACCCCCTCTCTGAAGCCCACCCCTCCTCCCATGGTCTGGATTCCACAGGATGGCGGTGCCACCCACACAGCCTGGCTGGGACATCTTTCTGTGTGTCTCCCTCTGACCAGTGACAGGTGCAGGAGGTTGTGCCCAAAAAGTAACTCAGGGTCAACGTCCCTTCTCCATCCAGGAGATGCTACTTTATAATTTAACCACTCACCCCTCTTGTGTGCGGCACTGGTCTTCCCACCTTGAGTTCCCTTCCTCCCAAACTGTCCTCCGCACGTTTGATCTGGATCCGTTTCTAAAATTCTCACACTTGGCTTAGCGGCTGCCGTGCTTAAAATTTTCCCAGGGTTCCTCCCTCCTACAGGTTGTATAGTCTCCCAGTTAAGGCAGGGAGGACCTTACGTGATCTCCTCTCGCCTAATTTCCCATCCTTATCTGTCTCGACACAGACGAGAGTGATGAGGGATTAAGCTAAAGTAGCCGCTCCTGTCGGGAAAAGGACATTGACTGTAAGTCTCTTTTGGGGCACAACCTCGTGCACTTGGTCATTACTTGGGAGGGAGACACACAGAAGATGTCCCAGCCAGGTTGGGTGGGTAGCATCTCCAAAGTCCCTTTAACCCAAGGACCCTCACACGGGACTATACTGACCTCCTTCCTGTCCCCACTGATCACACCCTCTCCCTCCAGGTGTTTGGACCTTTTTTTTCCCTTGCTCAGATGCCCTTTCATCTCATGAACTCCTAATCATCCTTCACAAATGTATCGCAAATCGCCTATGTTTAAATCTTACCCCAATGACCCCACTTGCTTGGGGTCATTCCTTCCTTGTGCTTCCACGAACGTCATCAGACCTCCATTTCAGCCTCGTTGTTATCCTTTCAGATGGTCCCAGCTTACCATAGTTCAACTTCATTTTTCAATTATACCACAACATGAAAGCAATATGCATTCAGTAGAAACCATACTTTGAATATGGTATCTCACCATTCTGCTTTTCACTTTCAGTACAGTATTCAATGCGTTGCATGAGTTATTTGATGCTTTCTTATAAAATAGACTCTGTGTTTAGATGAGTGTGCCCAGCTATAGGCTAATGCAAGTGTTCTGGGCACACTTAAGGCTGGGCTGGACTATGAGTTCATTAGGTTACATGTATTCAATGCATTTTCGACTTGTGATATTTTCAACTTACAATATAAGTTTGTGGGGTTTGCGGGGTCATACCACCATCATAAATTAAGGAGCATCTGTATTTTAATGTCTTCTCCACTTGGGCTGCGAGATCCGGAAGGGCAGGGACCTCCCCCCGCCCACGCCCTTTAGTCACCTCTGCATCCCCAATGTCTATCAGGACTCAGGAGCTTTCTAGATGATTTTTAAATCCAGCTTTTCCTCTCTTCTTCCCTGCGTGTTCCCTCCCTTTTACAAATCCAAACCGGGTGATAATGGAAGAAGTGGGGGCAGTTTCTGAGGATGGGATAGTTTGCAGATGAAATTCAAAGTCCCTGATGCAAGGCTAACGGGATTAGCAGTTGGATAGTTAATCATAAAAGATGATTGGAGCAGGAAATCATAAAAACTGATACACCAGTATATCACGTTTTGCTTCAACTTAAAAGATATAAATGCACAGTCTTTCACTGTTCTCTTTTGAAAGAGCCAGGCGTTTGCTTTGAGCAGGTCTGTAGTGGAGCCTCGTACCTGTTCCCGTCGCATAAACCATGCCAGGCATGCCTCAGCTGCAGCTTGGAGTTTCGCTTTCTTTAAAGAGGAGAACATAAAGGCAGGCGGTCCAGAACTGTATCGAGGGTTTTTACAATCTCACTATATCTATCTTGACTACCTCATCTGCCTTTTGACAAGTCTTCCAGAACATTCTACCTATCTTCACAGCAACAACCTCCTCTTCCCGCCTATAGCTCCTCCAAAACTTTCTAAATCTGTTTCCTTCATGAGAAGACAATTTCTAATGATGGCTAATAAATAACCATTGTGTGCTGAGAACATTCCATGTGCTGGGTGCTGAGTCAAAGACTTGACAGGAAGGATCACAGTTTAATCCTCCCAACAACAACAACAAAAATTCATTGAGGAATTATCTCTCTCTGAAAAGCTGAGATAACTCATGTGTTGCAAGACATCTGAGTACATCAACTGCAGCAATAGTGTTAATAAAGAGCCTGAAAAGTTGTAGTCACTAGACCTTACCCTCTAAAACAAATAACAAGCAAATAAATAAACAAACAATATGTATGGGCCACTTGTGATGTTCAAGGCATTTGTCTAAACACTTGAATTGTATTAACTCTTTTAATTCTCACAGTGACATTACAATAAGGTAAGCACATTAATATCACTGTTTTGAAGATAGGGAAACTGAGGCATGGGGTCACAAATAGGAAGTGGACCCCAAATGAAGCTGGGATTATAAACCCAGAGAGTTTGATTTCAGAGTCCATCCTCTTTATCAAAATTATCTGCAAATGGGGTTAACAATCCCTATCTTCTAGAATTTTGGAAAGGATTAAATGAAATAGTGATTATTTCGATACAGTGCTTGCCACCCAAGAGTTACAGGACAAATGTCTCTTCTGTTCCCTTCCTTTCCTTTCTACAGATGCCTCTCGGGGTGGGGGGGTTGGACATTAGGCATTTATCTTATTTTTCTCAATTTCTTCATATCCCCCCTAAAATAAAAATCAAAACAATGTCAGCTTGTCAGGGATTTAAGCACCCAACTTCACCTTGGGAGATGAAAGACCACCAAATCTGTATATAAAACAAGCAAAAAAGAAAAAAAAATCAATCTTTCGTGCAGACACAATTTCTCTTGAAAGGTGACACAGTCCTTTAAAAATAGCTATAGGCTCCATTGTGCAAAGACAGTGACAGAGACTGACAGCTTTTAGAGAGGTGTAATGTTCCCAGGCAGCCGGCTAACACGGCTCACCCAGATAGAGATCAGTCATTCGATCCGGGGGAGAGTGCTAAATGTTAGAGGTTAAGCTGCTATGTTCTTATTACTAATCAAACTTCAACACCGTGCCTCAGCCTCCTGGGGTCCCTATAAGGAAATGGTAAATCATTGAGAGGGTCTAGCCCAGGCTTCTGGCTTCATAGGTGCTGCTTTTGCCAGTCGTGGGTGAGTCCTACATCCTTTGGACGTTGCACCCAGATGAGGGACTCCAAGCGCTCTCCAAGGATACTTGCACATTAAAACTAAGTGACAACCCAAGCAGGCACCCTCTGCTCTCCTAATGAGGAGACAACAGAGAGGGACAAAGATCCTCGGTGCAAACTCTGCCAGGTAGCTTCGCTCTCCATGTCCACATCAGGCAGAAGCAGCTGCCCTGGGGTTTAGTGTTCATCTGCACCACTGATTGCTTTTCCTCAGGAACCCAGAGATGTGGAAGACAAATCATGTGATTTGGGCATTTCTTTGCCCACTGTTGGAGGCAGAGGTGTATGAGAACAGTGGTCCCCAACCTTTTTGGCTCCAGGGGCCAGTTTCATGGAATACAATTTTTCCATGGACTGGGGCTCAGGGGGAATGGTTTCAGGATGATTCAAGCACATTACATTTATTGTGCAGTCCAACCTCTCAGCTTATGATAATCTGTATTTGCAGCCACTCCCCAGTACTAGCATCACTGCCTTAGCTCCATCTCAAATCATCAGGCATTAGATTCTCATAAGGAGCCACAACCTAGATCCCTGGCATGAGCAGTTCACAGTAGAGTTGGCACTCCTAAGAGAATCGAATGCCCCGCGGATCTGACAGGAGTCAGAGTTCAGGTGGTGAGACAAGTGATGGGAAGTGGCTGTAAATACAGAAGAAGTTTCACTTGCTCACCCACTGCTCACCTCCTTCTGGGTGTCCTGGTTTCTAACAGACCAGGGACCAGAACCAGTCCATTGCCCAGGGCTTAGGGACCACAATACTAGAATATGTTTAATAACCAGTTTTCTGGGGGGTAGAAGAGTCTTATAATTTGTAGGTGTTGCCAATTTCCAGGGTGTAAATACTTTCACTATGGCTGATTTCCAGCTAACAACATGAAGTCACTGAATGTGAAGTTAGAGATAAATGTGCATAATCAGATTTCATGGCATGAACAACTCGAGTGCTCTACTAGTTAAAGGGTAGGTAGATGTTCCAGAACAATCCCTGCTGTGTCAGCTATGACTTTATTACTAGGGCAAGCCAAGCCCTCATTCCACTCCTCCTTAAAGTGGATCTTACCTTTTCTCTCTGAGATTCCATGGAAATGCCCACAGCAATTGCAGAGCAAACAGAAAAGGCAAAACTTGCCTGACTTTGATCTTCCACAGGCTGGGATAGCTTGGCCCCTGAAGTTCCTGGTTGCAAAGTAAAAGAATTCAAATTGCTCAATTGCTACTTGAGAGTAACAAGAGATTATTGACCCAGAGCCTATAGCTATCCACACATGATCTCTTCTAATGCCTCCCAGCAATCCTAACAGATGGTATCATCACCTCCATGTTAAAGAGGAAGAAACAGGCTCAGAGAAGCCACTGGCACACAGCCACATGACTCATGAGTGGTGGAGCCGAGATTTGCTGTCACATTTGTCTTGCTCCAAAGCCATGATTTTGTCTACTACCATGTCCCAACCAATACCAGGAAGGCATCATCCAAGGACATTTGGGAGGTGCAGATGGGAGACGAGGCCAGGTAAGATTCCCCAGGAGAGCTGACGCAGAGGGATAGCAGAACATGAGCCAGGAAGAGGTAGAAGGGTTCAGAAAGATGGGGCGAGCAATCAAGATACGTGAGCATCCTTCTCCTTGCAGCTGATCACAGTCATGGTGACAGAATGTCTGATGGAGACAAGAATGAGACCAGACACCCCTTCCATAGCTCCTTATGTCCTGAATCAACCATTCCAGGGGTCAGGAAGCCCTTCCTTGTGTGGATCTGAAAGCCACCCCACCCTCTTCCACCCACTGCTCCATGTTTTCCCTCTGGTCCGACTCAGAATGATGCTTTCCCAGACCCAACCCCTGCCCAGGAATAGAACCCTTCCCATATCATGAGATGCTGATCCAACATCCCATGGGCTTCTCTTCTCCAGACTAAGGTCCTCCCACTCTCCAGCTGTCCCATTTGTGCCAGGACCAAGCGTCCCACTGGCAGCCCCCGCCCAGAGCAGGTCAGCCACCAGGTGCTGGTCCCCAGAGCCCATGGAAGGGAGTACATCTCTGCTTCTCTATGCAAAGCTTGTAGGACCTCCGATGTCGGACCTTGGGTGGAGAGGAGAATGAGATCTTTCATGTCTGGTTAGGGGACGTCTGTCATTCACTCATCCAACTGCTATTCCCTGAGCTGTCACCGTACAAACCCGGCCCTGGCCATCTGCTGGTCACTCGATGGTGAAGGTGACAGACATGGCCCTAACCCTCATGGAGCGCAGAGGCAGAAGCTGACATTAATTAGGAAAATCACTCCGGTCACTGTAAATTTCCCGGACGCCACACACCACCCAGGAGCAGGAGGCTCAGTGCCCAGGAGACTTTCGGGGACCACAGAAATATTTTGCTTAAAATTTCTTTTAAAATGAAAACAAAAAAATGAATATAATATTAATGCTTAAATAATGATGAACCCAGCCTAGACTACATTTGCCTTTGTACCGGTTGCCAAATATAATTTTTAATAGTTTTTAATGGAGAAAGAGACCCACAATGGCAAGAGTGCCTGGGGCCCAAGGAACACCAGAATATGGCCTTGGACCCGGGTGCTGTCAGGATGTTTATGGGGTGGACTGATTTAGTACCGAGGTTCAGGAAGGCATCCCTGCCAACAGCATAATTAAACTGCGAGCTCACGGAAAGCGGGAGTTATCGGCAGGAGGAGGGGAGTGTTCCAGGCAGCAGGAAGAGTGAGTGCAAAGGCCCAGCGGGGCCAATGGTGCAGGAAGGTGTGGACGAGGCAGAGATGGAAAAGCACTCTCAGAGACTTGGAGGTGCGAATCCATAGGGAATAGGAGGTGTGAAACTGCTGGGGTTATAAGGTCTGAATCTGTAGGGAATGTGCCCCGGGCTGCAGAAATGTGAGTCACAAGGTTGAGGAGGAGAGAAGCAGGCGAGAAAGACAGGGAAGAAGCCTCCAGCTATCCTGGATAGTAGGCTGGGAAGGTAGGTTCTACAGCAAAAGAGTTAGTAAAAGGCTGAGACCCAGAAAGGCTGTTGCACCAGCTTCAAGGAGACTGGGCAACAGGACAGGCTGTATCAAGTCAGAAAAGATGAATTGTGTGGCCTGAACATTTTCTGCTTGTTAGGTAAAATCAGGAGGTTACAAGAAGAATCAGGTTTTGGAGACCCATGCCAGCCACGGAACAGGGTATTGCAAGTGTGTGAGTGTGTACACTTATGAGGTACTTGAGTGAGTGCATGTGTGTGTTTGTGTACACATGTATGAGAAGTGTGAATGCTTGCATTTGTGAGCATGCATGTGTTTGTACGCATGAGTATGTGCACGTGTGTGTGTGTCTGTGTGCGTGCATGCATGTGTATGGACATGTATGTGTGGTGATCTCGGGAGAAGAGGAAGAGAGACATGGAGAATTCCCTAGAAATACTAGTTGTGGAAAGAAGATTAAGAAGCTATTTTTTGGTTGCTCAGGAACTTGTCTGGAGTTCATCTAAGTTAGATTTGGAATGAGCCTCATCTTGGGTGCTCAAGACTTACGGCCCAGCTGTGGTTCCATCCCCACACGCCGCCCACAGCGCCCCTGCTGGTAGGAGCCGGGAGCGCAGACGTGGTCCCAGCTCTCCCTACGCAATGCAAAACTCCTGCGTGGACTGCCTGCCATGGGGAGTTCTCTTTGCTGCCACCTTTTTCCTACCTCTTCGGTGCTAGAAATAGCTTCAGTTTAGGTTATGAAAAATCATATTTGAGTCCCTACTGTGTGCTTTTCTCATGTAACTGTCAAAACCAGAGAGATTAGGACTTACTCCACGGAGGGGGAGGTTCAGGTCAGAGTGACAAACGCATGTCCTCCAACACCATTTCGTCAGTGTGGGAATCCTGCAGCCATGAAAGGACCTTTCTTCAAACTGTCGCTGGACTCCACTGGGCTGTGCCCATCCACCGGGATGAGACTCCACATCTGGGGACCCGCAGAGCCCAGCCCAAGCTGCGCCTTAGCTGGGGTCCCCTCGGCCACGTTTTTTTGCTTTTGCATTCAACTTCTTTCTTGTCCGCTGACTTTAGCCGGAGGCCCGATTCTATTTTAAGAATGTGGGATGCGTTCTCCAGAAGGGAAGGTTGTGAAACTCTGCGGAGACAGGTCCAAGCACTGCCCGTGCTTGCAGGAGTTTGCTTAAGGATCTTTGAGCAGATAGACTGTGGATTAATTGTCCTAAACTAAGGATTACTGGAGTGCTGTTGAAATGGTTGAGGGGGGAGAAAAATAATCTTATCAAGAAAGGAGAAATCTTTTATATTTGAGCCAACTTTGGTTTTAAAATGTTATGAAACAACTTCTGACTGTTTCCCAAACAGGGCTTTTTTTTTTTTTTTTCTTCTCTTTCCCCAGAGCTTTGCCAGCTCTTGGGTCTTCTCTCCCATGTTTTGTTTTGTTTCTCCCAATCTGACACTATCTCTCCGGATTTCTTATACACACGGTTTGTTTTGTAGGGTTTTTTTCTTTTTCATGAGTGTGTGTTTTCACTGGAAGAATTCAATTCCCATTACTTTTGAGACAGCTTTATCTTTTGCAGCATTCTGGGCACTAGGCTGGTGTGGAAATCCCACTGGAGGTGGTGAGGACCTAATTAAAATGCACGTAAGGAGGACTGTTTGTCCTCGAGGACAAATGAGCATACAGTGGTGCACGGCCATTGCCCTTTGCCCTCCCCAATACCTATCCCTTTTACTCCTGCCACTGATGAGCATTGATGCACTCCTGCTTGCAATCTTTCCTATCTCCCCAGTCCGACTTCAGCACCCTCAATACTAGACTAAACCTTCCCAGCTCCCTCTTTCTTGAGCCCCAGTACCCTCCATCCTTCAAAACTCAGCTGTCTGCCCCTCTACTGGGAAGTGTCCCCAACTCAATCCTGCCCACCCTCCCACCTGGGCCACAAGGGGCAGTGTCAAGTGTGTGCCTGTCGCCGGCACATGTAATGGCGAGACGCATACGTATTCCAGGACCTGTGTCCCTTCCTCTCTGCTCCCACAGCGTCTCTCGTGTGGCTCTCCTGTTGTACCCTTGACCCTCCATTGACAGGGCTTACATACCTATGCCTGGCTCATCGCCAGCCCTCCTGAAGGCCACCACGTGTGACCTTCAGGAGTGCCACCTGAAAGCCACATCTCCAGTCCTGCTGAAGGCCACCACGTGTGACCCCAGAGAAGTCTGCAAGCCTAGAACACCCTGAAGGATGGCCATGGGCATTAACAAAGGATCATTCCCACCTACAACATACTAAATAAGAGTTTGGGGGTCAACTTTATTTTCCTTCAGGGACCCCCAGGAGTTAGGGCCATGGTCTGAAAGATTTTGATTTAAATCCTAGCTTTGCTGCACACATACCCTCTAATCTTGGCCAAGTCTCTTGCCCCCTCTGCAAAGGCAGAAAAATAAGAGCCCACCTCCCGGGGCTCTCAGGAGAATTAAACGGCACAGGAGGACCAGGCTCCTAGCAGGGCCTGACAGATGACAGGTGCCGCATGAACGGCCCCTCCCTGGTCGGCATCTCTCACTTCCAGGTCCAGCGGTCTGGGGATCGCATTGCACGGAATCTTCGTGCCACCGTGCCCCTGAGCATGTGGGTGACTGGCAGGCACTGCACACCGCCGGGCTAGTAACTTCAAAATGCTTTGAAAATTTTCTCGATGAGTTTGTATCATTTATACATTCCGTTTAGGTTTCCTTGTATGGTCCTAGAGCCAGACAAGCCTGATATTTGCTCCTTCTCTCTCTTTCTCTCTCGAAGCCCTTGACACTAGTTCTAGGGCAAGGATTCCGAATTTTGAATTAAGACCATGACATATGTTGTATTGATGCTTCATGCATCAGGCATGACGTGTGGGGTATGCCACCTGATTCTCCATCTGTTTTAGTGGTTTGTAGAGAGGGGTAATTTAACCACCACCCCCCAATACTTGGCAAAGTCTAGAGGTATTTTGGGTTGTCACAACTGTGGGGGTGCTATTGGCATCTAGCTAAAACATCCAACGATGCACAGGACAATCCCCTACTACACAGAATCATCGGGCCCAAAGTTACCACAGCCCTGTGGCTGGGAAGCTCTGCTCATGGGTGTGATTAAAACCTGGGCACCTGGGTTCTGTCTGTCTCCACCTTTCACTGGCAGAGTGATCTTGGTGTTGGTTATGTATTTTTTGAACCTGTTAAAAAAGATAAATAAACTTAGCTGATAAAGTTGTTGTTTATTGGGGTGATACTCCTTGCACACAGTGCTCCGTGAATATTAGCTGGATTACTGCAATTCCTACAGTAATTCCCAGGCTTAGAGAAGTTCATAAACTACCCACAGCTGCGAAAGGGCAGAATCAGGAATCAGCTCCCATCTCTCCACTGTGCTACGAGGCTCTCTTACTCCCAGTTAAGAACCCACACAGGGCCCAAAATACCCTAGAACACCCTTGGTAATTCTAGAAGATGTGGAATATGTGATTATAGCTGGGAAGTCTCGCCACGACCAAAAGAGGTAACGAGAGTCTTCGTGTGACGTTATTTTTGCCTAGAGGTTGGCCCTGACCCTTCTGAAGCTGAAAAGATTTCTTAATTCTGAGTTGAGGGTGTGACTGCCTCAGCCCCTTGGCAGGACATCTTGTGACTCGGTCGCTTTCCCAGGTCCCTCAAGCAGGTGCCACCTCCCCTAAGAACCAGCCCGCATCTCTTGCTGCCCAGAGCTCTGGACAGACACTTTCCAGGCAGCTCAGATCCGAAGACAGGAACCAGGGCCAAAAAGAGAGAGATAGTGGCATCCCAACGGTGGCATTTCCATCGCTGGACAGTGTCCCGGCATGCTTACCTTGGGGTGTGAAAACTGAGCAGCTTGGCATTTTCAGTTGCATTGCACCGTCTTTAACAGAGTAACAAAGTGAAAAAGGGAGCAGCCCATAGGAAGCCCGTCCACGGCTGAGCCGCCAAATGTCCCAGCAATGTGTGGAGGCCACAAGTGTGTGCCCCTGGTGCCATTCCATGCTTCTGCCTGAAACTTGTCACTGGAGATCCGGCATGTCACTTCCTGTCACTTCCTGTCCGGCTGCTGCAGCCCCAGAAACTGACAGCCTTAGAGACTGCTTTAAAAAAGGATTCTCTGTTTCCAAGATTCCTTGAATCTACAATTCCAAGGTTCCGGAATTCAGAGATCCCAAGATCCTGTGCTTCTGAAATTCTAGGAGTCCTGGATCACTTTGCCCACTGAAGGTACAGCTTTCGAAAGCACAGTGATGCCTCTTCCTAGTTCATGGTGGCCCTGCCAGTGAAAACACAGCACAGTAACAACAAAAACTCACTCCCGCAAGCCTGGAACAGGAGTCCTGAAAACGGAGAGAGGTAGGAGGAGCATGCTTAGACGTCCTGAGGATTTTTCTGCAAACTCCAGAGCAAGAGGCCTTTCCCACTGAGTAGAGAGCAGCCTCTACTCCTTATTAACCGTGTCCAGTCCCACCCGTCTCTGGGGCTCACGGCTGCAGGCAAGAGATGAGCAAAGCCTGCCCCCCCACGCCCCACCCCCCTATTTAGCTCTGCGGTCCGCCGACAGGCAAGACAAGCGGGCTCTCCAAAGGCAGCAAGACAAAGTAGGGCCCACGGGGAGTGTAGTCAGTTTCCAAAACAAGGACTCGATTGTGAAGTAGCATTTTGAGTTAGCATGACGCTTGCTCTGACAGCTGACAGAGAGGTAGGGCAGGGGGCCAGGCTTCTCCAGGGAAGTGGCCAGCGTGTGTGTGTAGGACCCTCGAGTCTGGAAGCTGCAAGTGAAAAAGGAATGTGGGCCAGGCCTGCCTGGATTGTCTGGGTGTCCCTCTGAGCACGTGTCGGGGCTCAGAGATCTTGTGTTCACACACATGCACTTATACGCACACACATGTCACTGTTAGGGCAGGTCACCCGCTATAACACACAACTCCAACTTTTGAGCAGCTTAATACATTAAGGTTCATATTTCTTGTTCACTCAAGGCTAGAAAGCCTGCTTGAGCAGGTCCCCAGGGCAGGTCCCTACAGGGTCTCCCCAACTTCTGGGGTTTCAGCAGCCCAGGCTCCTTCTATCCTGTGGCTCTGTCCTCTGCTGGGTCCCTGGAACCTTCTCAGGCCATTGTCAGATGGGGAAAGAACAGGGAGGAGCAGTGGGATGGTTTTAGGGTCAGGCCTGGAGGTGATGCATGTCACACCTGCTCACAGTCCAGCACTCGGTCAGATGAGCACGTCTAACTTCAAGGGAGGCTAGAACATGTGGTCCAGCCACATGCTTAGAAAGAAAAGAAAATGGTTTGGTGCACACTTAGCCACAGTCTGCCACAGTGTCATTCACCTGCTGCAGAACTCCATTTGTCCCCAGCCAGAGAATCCAGTCTGATCCCTGGGGTCAGAACTCTCCAGAGGTGGGAAGATTTCTAAGTCAAAGATTGTTCTGTGTGACTCAGTGACTCTGAGGCCTGTCACTGGCTTGGCACGCAGTGGGCTTTTAGAAGTGCTGGTTAACTCATTCACACCTTCATTTATTTAACCGACAAGCATACCTAATTCAGGACCTCAATTTAAAAAAAAAGGCACGGTCCCTGTTCTAACAAATCCTCAGTAGAAGGAAAGAGAAGTAACATGTGAACAAATGATCCCTCTATAGGGTGATAAAGAAGGCTGGGGCTGGGGAGAAGGTATAAAGAGCTGGTTGGGTCAGAGTGGAGAGATATTTATTTGCACACTGTGATTCAGGCTGAGGCAATCCTGACAGGCTTCTCAGAGGAGGTGACTATTCATTGTGCCTTGAAGGAAGAAAGCCAATCAGACTGCAAAGGCAAAGAGTTCTAAGGGTGCCCTGCTCTGGGGGAGGTCCACGTAGAGGCAGGCCTGAGTCAGTCTTGTGTCGCGTGTTGGTGGTTTTTTACCCAGAGTAAAAATAGAAATGGGTTGTAAGGTGGTCACTTACAAAACCGGCGGCGACCTCATTCCATTTTCCTGGTAGATGGTAAAAGGAGAGAAGGGCTGCTGCGTGGGCTGCAGAGAGAAGTAACTTCCTAAGCAGAGGAGCTGGGGGGACACTTGGGGTCCTCCGCAAATCGGAAGGGAGATGGGGTGGGGTTCTTTGGAGGATGTCGGGTCTCAGGAGCTGAGTCCCAGGGGGGCCACCTCACCTGCCCCTTAGGAGCCCGATCTCCGCATAAGGAGTGTGTCAGAGCCTGGGCTTTAGACCCAGGCAGACTTGGTTTCAATCTCAGCTCTGCCCTTTCACACTGTGTCTTCTTGGGCAAGATCTGAGCCTCCCGTTTCCTACTCTGCAAACTGGGTCAGTAACCCTGCCCTGCCCCGAAGTCGTTGTGAGGATTAAGTGCAAACACCTGAAGCATAGTGAGCGTTCGGCAAAGGTCAGGTTCCATCGTTTGTCACGGAGGCAGCCAGTCCTGCCGTCTGGCGGGGAGAGAGTGACGCAGGGCCACGCTCGGGGTGCTGGGGGAGGAGTGGGGGCGTACAGGAGAGTCTGTGAAATCAGCGTCACCAAATCTGGGGCATTGAAGCCACCCAGTTAGGTCACTGGAGCGTTTGGCTTAGCCGGCACGAGACAGGACCTTGTCGTTCAGGCCCACGACATTGGGTCAGAAACCTCTGGCCTGACTCATTTGGGCTCATTTTAAAGATCACCAGCATGTGACATCAGAATGGCCAGAATTGCTTTTAAAATTAACAGCCATTTCCTGGTGGAGGTGAAACAGTTATCCCTGGAACCCACCCTCAGCATGTCCCCCTGCAGACGAATGTCACCCGGCCCAAACGGCGCTTTTGTTTCTCTGTCCTCTGAGTCTGTCCCGATGGTAGAAGGGACACTTTGAATTCTTCAAAGAGTAATTCTCACTTACCTTTTCCCCCTCTTTTCCCCTTCAGGTTCAACCCCTTTTATCACACTAAAGTGCCAATCAATATTGCGAGATAGATGTTACATCTTAGCTTTTTATAACATTACTCGTCCCAGAAGGGACACTGTATCTTTAAGGAAATGGACCCCGTATCCTGTTTCTGAAGGATTAAAACTCTTTAAAGAGACAGAAGAGGCTGTAAACCCCGATCATATTCTTATTCTCTCTTCATTATCCTGTCCACTATGTATCCCTGCTGAGTAAATCTGGTTGTGTGTTTCTCCAAAGTGGTCATAAGAAGAAATTTATTTACTCCGCTTTGCACTGGAGGGGCATTACTGAGCTTCAAGGCTCTCCGAAGTAATAAAGATTTTGCAGTGTGTGCAAAAGGAGCAGAAATTCAGAACTTCTTTCCCCCTCTGAGGTCGTTTGGCCATCCAAAGGGGGAGTCACTTCTCATTTTCTGACAGGGTTTATTTCCGTAAGATTTTCCAATTAGCAGGAAAAGGTCACACTAATGTTGGTGCTGGGTAGGGGAAGAGGATCAAACTATGCAAATAGAGACATCCTTGAAAGGACAATATTAAAAATAAATAAATAAAGAGTGGGATTCCTTCTCCTCCTAATTTAAAAATTATATATACATATATATATATATATACACACACACACACACAGATACATATATGCACACACATGCACATCCCCTTCTTCCTCCAGTGGGGAACAAAGGTGGCTGTATTTGATTAGCTGTTCTTGCCTGGGACAAAGGAACCCATCCTTCCAGAGTCTGACCACTGGGGAAGATGGCAAGTGACTTGGGTGCAAAAGATGGGAGTTAAGAGGAGATCCCCAAGCCCTTGGCCCGGGATGTGTAGGGACAGGGAACGCAAGTCCACTAAGCTGGGACCCGCCTCTAGTGCAACCTCTCAGGACCTTGCTAATGGCCGGACCGTCCCCAGCCCAGCGGCGCTGCCTGCCAGCATATCATTTTTAAACCTGGCTCAGATCTTTGCCTGACACTTCCCCTGCCGCTTTTGTTCCCTGCCTGGTGCGTGGGGAGCACAAGAACTTTTCTCGATAATAGGGAGGGCTGGGAGCCGTGTCAGGGAAGATATACTCCAGCCATGCGGAGGACAAAAGTCACAGATGCCCATTAAAACGGATCCAGGGGACGGCTTCACTTTGGGTTTGGAGCCGATGCTGCCTGTCAACTCTAACGTAACGTGCTAGGCAGTTGGTACCACCGAGATCCCTGGCTCGGTGATGCTCTCGAGCAGCCATCCCTGACCCACTGGGGAGGCCCGGTGGGTGAGCAGGTTGGAAGGCAGAGCCGGCCAGAAAGAGGCCTGGGCTTTGCACACCCCTCGCTCTCACCTCTGTCCACCCACATGTTTGTCCCTGCAGCTGCCATCAAAAGGGGAGGTTATATTCCTCCAAGCAAGGACCCGTGCCGTTGCCTCCAGGAGCTCAGCAAAGGATACAACCTGGCCAATTTCTCACAGTAACAGGACGCAGCATTCCTCGGGAGCCCTCTGAGTGCCAGGTCCCCTACCAGGTGCTGGGTTAAGGAGCTGTCCCAAGATCACACAGCTGTTACCTGGCTGAGTCTGGTAGACTATGATCCACGTGGATCTGTCTGTCCCTGATAGCTCCACTCAGTCGCACATGCTGTTGGTCTTACTTCATTTGTGAGTTTTATAAAATAAAGCTGGGGGGATGATTCTGGCAGCAGGTTACATCTTACCAAATGCTAAGAGCATCGTTTACCATTCTCCCTAAGATGCAAGCAAAATTATGCAAAAGTGTGGTATTTGGGTGTTTAAAAAAATCAGAAATGTGCAAATGGATCTCAAAGTGATGGCGCCTGTTGAGTGCTGGTTGTTTTCAGTGTGTGTCTGTTGTCAATATACAGTGTAACTAGAATGTGGGGTAATAGGACACACAGAGACGGCCTAAGATGACACACATATTCTCTAGTGTCATTTAGATCTGCTGCAATGTTTATTTCTTGCCTCAAAGAATAAGACAGAAACTGTCCACCCTCCGCTTAAAAAATCCTTTTCCCGTCCTTGAAGTTGGAGACTAATGCCTCAGAAGGCATTATTTGGATTTCAACATGAAAGAGAAAGCCTTTTTATTTTTCTTTGCCATTAAACAAAGAGTGACCCATTTTTTTTCCTGTTTTTAAAGTATCCTTTCTTTGTTATTGTTTGACAAGTACTCACTGTAGCCAATTCTTATCACTGTTTTTCCTTCTAACAAATTGAGGTGGGAAAGAAAGTTACAAAGAATGAGTCCAGTCAGAACAGCACGGGGGAGGAGTTGCATATGTATGTTTCAGCCTCCATTCATAACAGAATGAAATTCACCAAATTCAAAATCATTTTGTGGCTTTATCTAGAGGACACTATCATAGCTAATCAAAACAAACAAATAAGTAAACAAATAATTACAGTACCGAAACATCAAAGCAACCTAAATGCTCTAAAAAATGCAACTGTTTAACTAAAGTATGGTATATACTTAAAATGGAATACTATACAGCCATTATAAAGCATGTTGAAGAAATATTTTTAATGATGTCTTTTTCAGTTTTCAGAATACCAGTTTCTCTCTCTCTCTCTCGCTCTCTCTCTTAATATGTCATTATTTTACCATGTTCTTATCTCCACTGCTTTTAGGACAAAGCTGTACGGAATGAGTTACACAAAATTGGTTTTGAGCAGAGTGACAATAGGTGACCAGACACTAGGTGGCAATACAGTGGGCAAGATTTTGGGAACACATTATGTTATAGTTAGATAAAGTAAGATATAAATGTAATGAGAAACAAAAAGATTGAAAAAAAATTGTTCAGTAGGTTGGGGAAAATCAGATACATGTAAAAATTATAGAGGTCAGAATATACATTTATTGAGCTCTTTGCTAATCCTGATTCTAAATCAATTAATTAAATTGGGATATTCCTATTAATATTCCTTCCATAAATCTAAATAAACCAGAGCAAAAAGAAGCAAAATAATTTGCCCTGAGCTCACACAGCTGCCTAACAGAGGTGAAGAATATCCCTTCTTTTTAATTATAGTCTTCACGAAAAGTTTTTTAAAGTTTTTTAAAAGATTGAGAGGAGGATTGGCCTCTCCAGCAGTGACAAAATAGAAGGCTGCATGTTAGATCAGTCCTCCATCCTTGATAATGATTCCTAAATTTAGCAGAAGCATTGGAAGCATGTGTTCAAAAGGCAAAATCCTGAGACCAGACATACCTAATGTAAATAAACAGGGGGTGTTGGAGCCCCAGAAACCGGCATTTCAACAAGCCCCCTAGATGGCTCCAAAGTAGTCAACTGTCGTTTGGGGACCGTTTTGCAGTGAGAAGAGTCATGTGGGATGCTTACTCCAGAGGCAACTTCCAAACCCCTCCTCCAGAGATTTGATTCAACTGGTCTCAGATGGGACCTGGGGACTTATATTTTGAACTCAAGTGACCCCATGTCCTTGGTTGTCTGGGACAGCCCTGATGGATGCTGTTGTCCAAACATGATTATTAATAGCACTTCCTTTTGAGCTCAAAATCACCCCAGTTTGGACAATGACATAGATGACTAACTGTGAACCCCAGGAGACTCAGAGCATCATGACAGTTTGGGCAGCACAGCTCTGAAAAAAAAATGTCAGCAACTTAATTTTAATCTCCTTTAGTCACTTACGAACCTCCTAGCCTCCGGTGGGTGAGTTGTTTAATCTCCTTAGAGCCTCAGTTTCCTCCCCTGCAAAACAGATGGAAGGATTTCTAATTGCTGGGCTGTTGAGAGGTGTAAAACGCCTGTTTCCTCCCTCTGCAAGGGGCAGAGTGCTTAGGAGGTGCTGCTCACCAACTTCTTTCTGATAGTGTCAGAGGATTCCTTCTGCCCTCAGGAGCCTCTTGGATCTGCCCTAAGGAGCCCCTTCAAGGTCATGATCACAGTGCTTCTGTGGGGCTGGAAGCTTCTGTGGGGAACAAGTGGCACAGGCCTAAGGTCTAGTGAACAACCGTGAACATTTCCGAGTTTTCAGAGGACTCATAAATGCAAGCATCAGATTGATTTCACCTAGGAAGTACTGTTTTGCTTTTAACCGTCAGAACCACACCCTGAAGTTGTCTGTCAATTAAAAAAAAAAAAAAAGTGTTCTAGGGAAGGTAGGGGGTAGGAAGACCAAGTCAATAAACCATTTAGAAACTTTCAGACCTGTTGCCAAAGACAGACACATCTGCCATCCTGTTTGTAGCAGGAAGAATTCTAATAAATAATCCACAGACAGACATAATGCAGATGACATTTTAAAGATTATTGACCAAAAAGTCAGGAGCTTGCTAATATAAAATGGCCTTCACCACAAAATTTGCATTCACGACACTCACTTTTGGCATGTCTCTAAGCCAAGGAAAGTATCGATGCAACTGACACAAATAATGATACAAACCAGACAATCTGTTTTCAAGCAAAATGAGACCAAAAAAAAAGTTTCCACTTACGATTATGGTTGGCGTGGCGGTGTGCGTACTTTTTTGTACATTTTTTGTTGACTCCACGGAACACTTCAAGGGTTGTCTGCCCATATGTGGGTTTCAACAAAATCACACGATTGCCCAGTTCCAAATATGCTTGTTGCATTTCTTCCGAAGATTTCTTTTCTTCTTCTTTTTTTTGGCTGATTAGACCCTGTAGGCAGAAGTCGTCATAGTCTTAGGTTTGTGGTACTGGAACACATTTCTTTGATAGACTATGTGATGTGGCCCAGAAGGATTTGGGTGCCTCTCTCGTATACCACACCCGCTTGCCCTGACAAGCCTTGACTGTTTCTCTTCCAACACAGTTTTCACCTGGCCTAGGTGGCTGAGTGAGCATCAGGCAGAGCATGAAAAGGACTTTTTTTTTTTCTGTACGAGCCTCATATTACTAAGATTGATTAAAAAAAAAAAATGCCTAAGGAACATTTGCATATCTTAGCTTTTGAAGCAGTCAGTTGTACGGAGAGTCATTTAATTGTAGCAACAAGCACTTTGGAGCCCACGGACCCCATGAACTCTCCATGGGTCTGGATTCTGGCTCTGCCATTTCCTGGCCATGTGATCTGAGTAACTTCTTTAATCTTTCCTAAGCCTTCGTTTTTACCTCTCTATTTTGAGTTAATAACGTGACCTGCCTCACAGAGTTCTAGTAGGCATCAGTAGGAGGAGACATTTTGCACTATACCTATTGTACCGTTAGCTTTCAGTAAATGTTAATTTTGTTCAGATCAAGATGATGATGGTGATGATGACTGATGGCAACAATGATGATGGTGACGATGATGATGATGATGATGAGTACCTGCCCAGGAAATTTACGGCCACCTCTTTGAATGCTTACAAAAACTGATAAGGAAAAAGAGGCTCAGAAAGTTTTGGAGAAGTGTTTGGAAGTGGAGGGACAACTCTTAAACCCCTTTTAACTGCCCCAGCCATGTTGCACCCCAGCCCGAAATTTCCTTACTCTCGCAACACGGTGAATAGCACACCTGGATATCCAAAGACACACGAGAGCGAGCGAGGAGGGCCCTCTTTCTTGGTGAGGGGCA